TTAGGGTTTTAGGGCTTGGGGTTTAAGGGTTTAGGGCTTTAGGGCTTTAGGGTTTTAGGGTTTTAGGGTTTAGGGTTTAGGGTTTAGGGTTTTAGGGTTTTAGGGTTTAGGGTTTAACATGTCACACAGGGGCCTTAAGAAGTATACGCCCATACAGGCTTTAGGGTTTTAGGGCTTCGGGATTATTAGAGTGGGGTGTTGGAGGGGGGGTATAGTCGAATATGGATATAACTCCAATGAAGGAAGCCCAGAATAGTATTGGTAATTGATTCGGCCTTAAAGTTCCCTTCCGGAGCCCGTATGGAAACCCTTGCAGTAACCCCTTGAAAGGAACCCGAAAGGGAACCCGTATGATAAGTTGAGCCAAATCTTCTTAACATGTACGCGAAAGGGAACCGAGATTGAGGAGCTTCCCGCCGAAAGCTTTAAGCTCTGGGTTCCGAGAGGAGACCTCTGGAATGACGTGACGAACGCGACGGGCTTAGGATTTGGGGTTTAGTGTCGTGTTCACACCGCGATCTGACTGCAGGGTATCGGTTGTTTTCAGGAAGTCAGCGTCAATGCCAACATGGCCAACAGTCTCAGACGCCTCAGAACAGCGGATGTTAGCTCGGGGGCCTAGCAAAGTCGTGCACAGATGTCCCCAAGCCCCACCGAGCCAGGATAGGCGCAGGCTTCATTTAAGGATCGAGGCTTGCGATGTCCTGTTCTTTCTCCAGCACAACCGGAATAGGTGTTAAGGATTTGTTGGAAATCTGTGTGCGGGCTGTGTTCAAGATGCACATTCGCAAGTTAGCAGACATGCTTAAGGACCAGGCTCGGACCTCCGCCTCCAAAACCCTCAAGCAAATCTACATTCTCCGGACTGTAGTCTTAACTTAACCCCCACAACACCCTGCTAAACACCCTCCAGCACCCCATTGCAAACCTACATCTTCGCTACACGCATAAAAACCCTGCGGAGACCCTCTCACAAACCTATACTCCCACAGACTCCGAAGTCTTTCTCTTGAAGTACTTCTTTCTCGGATGCGAGGATCATTCCTTACTTCAGGGTTCTTGGGCTCTCTGGGTCCAGTATCCGGACCCAGATGCCTTCTGAGTTGTTGTTATTAGCATCATTACTAGTATTATTATAATTACTATGACTACGATTTGTATTACTACTGTTAGTACTTATACTTATGATTGCTATTATTGTCATTGTTATTAGTATGCATATCATTATCATTAACATATGGGTAGTTCTGAAAATTAGGGTCCGTTTCCAGGTCCCCAACATAGTACGGTACCCTTATAAAAAGGATCCTAAACGGGACCCTAGTTTAGAGAACTACCCAGTTACAACCCCTATAATCCGGCACCATGATAGAAGCCCCATAGAAGCCCCTAGAGATTCTAGATCCCTTTAAGGAACCCTAAAACCGGACCTTTAGGACCCCCATAGACCCTAAACCCTAAGAAAGCTTGCTTGGAGCCTTTTGAGTTGGCAGAGCCCAATCCACAAAGCCATCGAACGCGGCCCAGGCGGCATCCACAGCAGAGGCATCCACGAGGTTTACGAAGGCATAGCCCAGGTTCGCCTCTAAAGCCCCCCCAGGAGTTTCAGGCTCCTTTTTTTTTTTTGAGGGCCTTTCTCCGTCTGCTAGGGTTATAAGGGCAGGCTAACGTTTAGGGTTTAGGGTTTTAAGGGCAGGACGCGAATGGGTTTATGATACCATACCCTACATCCTAGAGGCCTCTGTGTCAAGGGCTCCAAGCGTTGAAACTGTTCAGGGCGGTAGGAAGGGCAAAGCGAGTGCGTGAGTCGCGCGCGGGATAATGAGGGAAGCATAAGATGACCCTATTCTGCTAGCTTAGCTTCAAACGACGTTCTAGGTCTGCCTGGCGCCGGAAATCACAGGGCAAGTAAACGAAGTCGTAGCGCCCAGCAAAGCCGTTGTCGTCAAGGAGGGCGAGGAACATCTCTCGCGTGTAGTTGTTGGGGACGTTACGCAGCATCACGGTCGTTCTGTCCGAAGCCTGCTTTGCCGGGTTGATCTTCTTCTGAACTGGCTGCGATTTCGACTGGCTGGCCGGCTCTGTTGCCTTTGCCACCGTAGGTTTTGCCGTGCAATCACTGGCATGCTCCTCACTGAACTTTCCAGGCATGTAGGCCTCCTCGACGTCAAAGGCAATCACCAAAGCCGAGTCTGACATGGTCCGACCCCGCAGCTGTGCGAAGCACTGCATGAGGCCTTGCCCCTCATCCACATCGAGGAACGTGGTCTTGACGAATACCTTGCACTGCCCTTCAACACCCGGTGTGTCTGGGCGTGGAGAAGGAAGGCTGGAGGAGCAGGTCCTCTCGAGGCTCTCGCTGTCGCTGTGCTCCGGAGCCACTGTGGTCTCGGAGCCACTGCGTCGCGCAAGCTTTCGGGGCGTGGCCGGCATAGTCGAGGGGCAGGACATGGGAGAGCGAAGACTACACAAAGGCTCGCGACGGTCGCACTGCTTGACGACACTGATGTCCTGGGCCCGACGAGCTGCTAGGTCTATCCATGGCCAAGCCGGCATACCGCATGCATATCATGCATGCTTCAACCTCTGCGGGCCCACGATGGACTCCTAGAAAGTGACTTCTAAAGGTGTATCACACGCGCCGCAGCTGTTGCCGGGGAGCAATGCTGACCATAATAATAAGGAACCCCCACAATCGTATTGGTAATTATGTCGGCCCCTATACTAAGCACTTTCAAGCTCCTTCACCCAGACCCTGAACCGCGCCCTTTTCCAGATGCCTCGCCAAGGCAGGCGACGACGAACGGTCTTAAAGGAGCCAACATTTCGACATGAGCTTGGCAGCCCCAGCGCTGCTCTTTGACAGCACTCACAGGAGAGACATTTGTCCAACTGGCATTCTTCTGAGCTGGGGGTCCCTGCTAGAGTCTGAGTGACATCGAGAACCTTCAAGTCTGCGGAAGGCATATGGAAGGAGCCCCAACTTGGAAGAACACCCTCTGTCTCCTGTGCAGCCCCATCCGATTCTGTGCAATGGAGCTCCCTTTCCTCACCCCCCTCGGGTGCGACAAAAAAAGGGCCAAGCTTCGGGACGGGGCTTCGGAGCTGGGGAGCTCTGCGAAGTGTCAAAAACGGCCAAAACTGTACAGAGCTTTAGGGCTTTAGGGTTTTAGCGCTTTAGGGCTGTAGGGTTTTAGGNNTTTTAGGGTTTAGGGTTTAGAGAACATGCATTTCGTTCTTCGACTACCCACCTACAGACTTGGTGCCTTGATCTTCTTCGTGGGCCGTGGGAAGGGCTTGCGTACGCCACCATGGAAGACCACGGGCTTGTAATGATCTGGCACGCGCTTGTGCATCACCGGGCTGTTTTTGTAGCGATCCACATGAGCCTCACGGTGCAAGAACAGACGGCTTAAGCTTGAGGCTTGGGATTTAATAGGGCTAAGGGCCTAGGGTTTAGGG